AGCTTGGCTTTTACTTAGTGCACCGATTTTCCTTCTACTTTCACCTCTTTTAAAAACACCCAATAAATCACCACCAAGTAATGCCCCTAAAGGAGCTCAAGCGGAAAATGATGCAGGCTTTGCATGGTTTTTGAGACCAATTCCATGAGTCGTACTCGAGGAAGTGTATCTTTTGGTCAAGAGCCATCTTGAAAAACAATGGCCACCATCAGGGTCAGGGAGAACTTTAAATCCCGTTTAGAAAGGAGAGTGTGGAGGGGACAGATTTTGCTCTGCTTCTTCTAGCCAAAGGCTAGGCTACAAAGCCTAGCAAGAAACCAGGCTTCAAAGTCAATGCACCACTTAAAACCGTGAACTTCATTTGGCGCTGACGTTAGCGTAGTCTTACTCTCAGCATTGCCAGAGCTCCTCCGAGGAGTTTCCTCAGAGAGCAGCTTGCTTACTACCGTTTTATTCAGCACTGAATAACAGAAGGGTTAAGAGAGGGTTCGAGTCTGGAGAAAGACTAGAATAGCGTCCATCTCACTTTTAGTACACTTGTACTCTTTCGCATACGATCTTTGACCTCCAAGGTGAACTTAAACAATAATTTTAGTTTATTACAGTCTCAGAAATATTATTTTGTGCAGTCATGGCATCTGTGGTAGAGAGAGGTGGACGAAATCAAAAGCAAAATCAAAAGCGAATTGGACTGCCACGCAACGAGTAGACAGAGTTTACCTTTTGTTTGTAATCTTGCAGACTTTACAAAAGATCTACTCAAATTCCGATTTCTGTGTTAGCATTTTGAGAACATTCGTGAAGAAGCGGTTATAATGGCACGCCGTCTGAAATATGATTTGAGGAGAATGTTGTAGTGTTTTGTTTATGCGACCATCTGCATGACTGGCGGTTATCTTGACATTTGTCTTGTTCTTGCAAGCTTTGATTGACCTTCTTCTTTCCATGGCGCATATGTGTTAACCCAACTTGATGCCTCTTCTACATAGTAGGCAGCCTGCGTGAACCGATTTGCTGCTGTTACCACTTAATATCTGTTGATCGTTTTAAGAACTGTCTGGCCCATGAACGCTTGGGCTAGCCTTCGGGCCGAGCTCCAGTCTAATCTTTTTGTTCTGCTCGTAATACATGTATTCAGTTCCACTTAATGCCTAATTCCACTTTGTAAGAAGTCCCCAGACGCTACACTGACAGCATAATAAGTAATTTAAAGTAGCAAGATACTACACGTGAATGTACTGCGTAGATTTCATATGGTCCTGATCACATTTGCATGAACTTGTCGTCGCACAAAAATCAATTTTTTCAAAGACTTTTATAGCTATGTTTTAATTAGTGTGTAAAGGGGACGTTACGATTGGAGATTAAGTATGGCTGTGGTGCTTGTGCGCTACAAGCATAGAGAGTCGAAACGCAGGTCTTGCTGGAGGAGCACGCCTAACGGTGATGGCAGGTTGATATAGCAAGGTGCATGTAGAAGTTTACCAACCACGCTTATTCGGGTTTCACAATGCAACGGTTAGGAGGCTGCGGATGAAGCAAAATGTGTGTAGTGAAATAAAAAATGGAAGTTCTTGTGTTTGGAGTCTGCATAGGCTAAACCGAATTTCGAAGAGCAAAAGTATCTAAAAAGAGTTTAAGCACAAATTATTTAGCGACCTGATTATCGCCGTAATCGTTAGGTTGGTAATGAGTAAAGAAACCGACTTTTACTTTAAATATAATTTGCTTGTTGTCTTCCTTTTTGAGGTCACCGGATTCTCATTGGTTTGTCGTCTGGCGTTTTCGTGTTGCTACCATTGACTGCTGGTGCGTGTTCGCAAATTGGGGATTTCATTTAATAACGCAACATTATATTGCATTAATAATTATAGAAATGGGTCTGTGGTAGCCAGTTAGACAAATGTTGATTCATTTTGCGAATGATTTGTGCGTTTTTCGTGTGCATTCTGTGGAAATTGTGATTTCCTAATTAGGCACACGTTTTTTGCAAGCCTCAATTCATTCAGGGCGTTGTGTTTTGGGCTTTGTACATCGTATTGCACTGTCGTTTTTTATTGTTTATGCTTGTCTCCACTTTTAGCTGAAGTTGGTTATGTGGCGCTGTTCAATGCTCCTAGTTTTGCCAGTGTGTTTGATGCTCTTTACTTTATGTAAGTTAGTGCGGTTGTCTCTCTAGTTTATTCGTTGCTTTGTTTTGTTTCTATCGTCCTTAATGTTATTAATTTTGCTGTATGATGTTAGTATTTTACTGTTCATTACGGCTGTGACATTGAAATTGCCTTTGAATCGCACATTAGAGACTTGAGAATGCATTTTGACTAGTGAGCTTTTGTTGTGTTTATTGACATATCCGCCTGAGTGAACCGTCTGCGGTTAAGAAGCAGGCTCTTTCCATGCCTTGATGCTTTCGGATTTTAGTGTCTGGAAGCCTCTTTTTTGGTGCTGGTGTTTGATGGACTAGGAGGTGGCGGCATTGCGGCGCCCCTAGCAGGTGCAATTTGAAAACTTAAGTGAGTCGAAGTCGGAGTTGTTGCAATGAAAAGGAGTTCACAATACAATGACATAACTGCTGTTTCACTTACTTTTCTATAGCGTAGATGTGTGCGCAAACAGTCCCGATTTTGCTTCTCATCTGTTGACGCTGGTGTCGATGGTGATACTGTGCTTCAGGAGCAGCGGCTTTCGTTAATGTGAGTGCGAACAGTTACCTTCAAAGAAGTAGATTTTCGACTTGCAATCATGTGTATTCGGATGTACGCTTTGTAATAGAAATGCCTTGCGTTGATCATTTTACACATCTGGTTGGCTGGTGTGTGCCAATTTGATGAGTAGGACTTCGGGGTGTTGATTGTGGTGGTGAGTGATTAATTTGTGTGGCGTTGCGAACCCACTGATTCCGTACTATTTTGTTTATATCCGATCGTGTCGCTTTCCTCCGCCAATTTTTTTTGTTTAATTGTGATGATGTGAAGCGAGTAAGAGCCAGTGAGAAATACTTCATTGTGTGGATGTGAATGCATGTGCGCAAACGTCGTGCACTGAGTTGCTCCCCGTGAAGGGTATTTACTTGTGGACGTTTGTTAAAGGAAACAAAGAACTCGTAGTGGTCGTTATCTATATTTTACTTATGCATGCATGGGAATGAATTAAGTGGATACTTGAAGGAAATATAATAAAGGAGACACATGAACCATTCCCACGGATCGCTGAGGTTGCGGCCTTACTGTGATCTCTTCCTAACTTGGCTCCTTCGTTGCCTCTACCATTTTGCATTTGGATGTACTACCTACCTTTTCCAGCTGTCTAGCTCAGTTATTATCTCCTCTGCATCCTGCCTCCCTCTATTCTTACATGCCTCACTTCGTTCCTCTTCATTTGAGCGAATGCATAAGATGAGCTGTCAGACTAATATGCACCGTCTTCTACGCAAACGTGGCAGTCTTGTCGAAATCTGTGCACCTGCAATCCAGTGACACATACGTACCAAAACTGGCATGCATGCTTCAAAGCTAAGCTCTCTCCTCTCAATACTCTGTTCACATTGCAAGAGGCAAGTGGTAAATCTCTCCTCACAATTCATTTTGTTTAAGTGGCCACTCAGAGGTGTGTACGTGGCTTAAGCATCAGGTTGGCAATTAACCAGCCAATTAACAACAATTTGATTAGGCGATCAAAAACGACCATAAATCTGTACCTCAGATCATTAATAATCAAACATTAACGAGTGAAAATGGGTTTGATGTGTGCATTAGAAAGGTGGGGCGTTCCTTTTTTAAAGCCTGGCTTTAGAAGTGGTGAACATTAAGAGAGAATTCTTGAAGTGGTCTAGCGGGGTGTTGCGCAGAGTTGTCTCCTTCAATGGCAGTACATTACCGACTACTGAAGAGTAGAAGTAGTAATCTGCCAACTTATGAAAGACAAGCCTCGCGGTGAATGGGATTTACAGGTTAGGGATAAAATAATTGATGAGTGGATTGGCATCTACACTGATCAGTCTGAAGGGTTAAAAGAAGTGAGTCGAATTGGATAGAGGAGGGATGAAAGT